TGAAACTAACATCTTTGCTCAAATTAAAAACCAGACCATTAGCTTAATAACAGCGCCGTCATTATTGATAAGTAACAAGACAGTGTCTTGAGGAGAGGAAGAAGAAAAAAGATGCAAACGTTATCCCACTCGTGAACTTCATGACCAAGCAGAGCCAACAACTAGAGATAGACATCCACAATAACCCTCTAATCAACACCTTATAAGCAAAATAAAAAACTATATATCCAAAGAATGCAAGATTATTACAATATACCCCATCCCCAGTAGAAAAAAAAAAAAATACCTGAGGCAGAGGCAAAGTCGCTATTAAATCAATAAAAAAGTCGGATCTTAGATATCTCCTTGCAATCTCCTTAGGATCCATCACGAGCTCACCCCTGCCAAAAACCCGCGAACTCGGGGCCACATATGCCGTTCTAAACTTGATCACCACATGCAAAAGGTAGAAAACATCGGCAATTGTTCGGAAAAATGTGACCACTATCCTTAAATTCAAGTCCGTCTTGGCACACCATGACCCTTTGGTACCCCCCACGCTCGGCAAGTAGAAATACAAAGGGTCGACAAAAAGCGCCAACAAGCAAGAGACAATGAAAACCCTATTCCATTTGAGCACTATCTCACTGCCTGGGTCCAGTATATGCTTGTGGCACGGCTCTGGATTCTCTGGATAAACCTTCGATCCCCCAAACCTTATTGGGTCAGTGACTTTGCCTTTTACGTCAGGATTTGTTAGGGAAGATGGGAATTTGTTCTTCCCTTTCGATGATTTATCGAATTGGCCCCATGAAGTCAAGCTGTTTTGCTGCTTGCCTTCGAGGTAAAACCTAATGTGCATTTCAGAGAAAGTAGAAAGAAATTAGGAAAAATTCTAGACAGAAAATTAGGAAAATTCTCTCATCATTTATCACCAAATCCATACATACCCAACCCAGAGAACTATATTTTCCCGGTTAGAACTTCAGAGAATGGACTAAATAACTGTTCAGGTAAATATTTTCTTGTGATAAAGTTCAATGCTTCAAAGCACCATTTTCCTATATTTTCCTCAGAGCACAAGAGAAAAGGACACTGTCGTAAATCAGTGAATTAAAGACTCCGGGTACCAAAATTAAGTGTTTTTTTTTTTCCCAAGCATTTTGTTCAGATTATTACAAAATAAGCTTATAGAACCAAAAAGATTACTCCTTTTTAGCTCCATGAAAACAAATCCGATCTTTTCAGACGAAAAAAAAAAAGGAAGTTTCCCTCCTCATTCTGATAGTTAGATTGTATTTCGTAAACAAAAAGGAGAGTATATTCACTAAATCTCCATCAATTTCTTCACCATTTTCTGGTGAGCCCTCGAAAAATTAAAGAACAGTATAAACAAATCCAGACAGTAAAAATACAGTTACACAGCCAAAATACAGTTACATACCTCACAAGCCTGTCGCCCTTCATCTCCATTCTTCACCACACATGTGAAACCCTCACCTTTTTCTCCCTGGGAAAAAAGGGAATCTAAGACCAAGATTATATATATGTTGACGAGAAAACACGAGGGCTACCCATTAATTAATCGTAATTAAGACTAAAACATTCCTAAAACATGTTACTAAAGACTGATGACTCTCAGAAGATTCGCAGGAAAAGGAAAAACGGAAACGTAGAAAAAATTTAAGATTAGTTGGAGATGGTGTTTCACTGTGTGCGTTGTGTGAGATTAGTTCTTGGATTTGTAATAAAAGATGAAATCTTGGAACTGGTTTTATCAATCTAATTATGTAATCACTAATATCAGTCCACTAATTGCATGGCCCATTAATTAGGGGGACCTTAATGATAATTTTAGTGAGAAAAAGGAAAAAAGAAAAATTGAAAAACTCATAAACCCAACCATGTGATATTCAACAATTGATAGGGATTAGTAATTTGTATTTTTCTGAAAAATTGAGCTGTATTTATAATTTAATGAATTGGATAGGTTGATCATATTTGAAGAAAACAAATGTGTAGAATCACATCACTCAGTAAAAATATAATGTTTTGAAAAATATCCAATAGTATTTATTTATGGCGATAAATTTATGTTTAAAAGTGATATATTTGATTAAAAAAATTTATTCAAGGGACATAAATGATATATTTGATTAAAAAATATCCAATAGTATTCATATTGTGAGAAGGACATATAACCAAAAGATCACTAGTCCCATTCTTTTACATTATGGTTATATGCAAAGATAAATCTGTTTTTCTCCAAACTTTATTACAATATTATTAAAAAGGAAAAAGCTATTTGTCAATTATTTTTGTACAATATTTCATGACAACATGATGTTGCATAGTATGAATGATTGAAATGCAAATAAATGTATGACTAAGATTTAACGCAATGAAAATTTTAGCTAATATTGTTAACTACTATTGTCAACTATAAATGTATATGTAGCAGTGCCCTATTAAAAACTCCAAAATGTGTAAAACCAATCACCACGAGTAATACAAGTCATCTTTGTATTTAGTACATCAAAACACAAAGATGAAGAAAAGGCTCATACAAGGGATCCAACCCGAGCCAAACCACAAAACATAAAATTGGACATAACTACTCTCCAAAGGAAACTGAACAACAAAATATAAAAAGAAAAACACAAACTATAACCAAATAACAGCTAAAAACTAAAAAAACATAGTATAACAAAAAAATAAAACAAAATACTTCATTTCTACCGTCTTACACACCGTTGCTACCGCCACTACAAGCCACTGAGTCGAAGATATCTATCTAATAAGTCACCAAGATCAGCTCGAGCGGACACAGACACGCACACAAATTGGCCATTCACCTCAAACAAGAAAGGCTACAAATCAAGTTTGACTGTAATAATATTTTTATATTATTCTATTATTGTGGACTATATAATTAATTGAACTTAATTGAATTAATAGTCAAACTTAATTAAGGTGAATATGTATTTAATGAATTATTAATGTTCTAATATTAAAGAATCCAATTTGTGATGTTTGACTTGGACACTAAGTTAGGTTAGAACATGGGGAATGTTAGTAGGATTAGGATTGTAAGTCTCCTCCTCTTATATATACTACATGCCCCTCTCTCTCATCTCATACGAAAATAAAGTTCTATTCATAGGCAATGACAAACTCATCATTGGAGATTACGGGAAGAGGATCGTAGATCAACCTCATCAATCAAGAAAACAGGAAAGGAATATAAACTGGATTCTTGTAATTTCTATATGAAAACAGGGAAGGAATATAAGCTGGATTCTTGTAAGTTCTATGTGAAAACAGGGAAGGAATATAAGCTGGATTCTTGTAAGTTCTATGTGCAATTTAATTTATGCAAAGATCCATATTCTATGAACTGATAGAATTACATACTTAAAGTTTATTCAATTCCGCCTAATAGTTATCAGAGTTTATGCATGATTATTTTGCCAATTAAAAGTTTATGGCCTATCGGTGGAAATTGCTTTTGCCGATTATAGATTGTGATATATGTGATGCGATAATATATTGCTGCGAATTATTGTTTCTTCGAAGCCGAGAATATATTGCTTGAAAATTATATTAGTGGCTGCGATGGTTTTTTCTGTTTCAAACCAAGTGTGTTGCTCCATAATATATATTATATGATATATGATGATGGTGTCTATTATTTATCATTGAGGAAAACAAAATTAATTCCAGTACCTGTGTTGAGTGCCTTGGAATTATTCTTCAGTGCCGCATCTGTTGTAAAGTCTCATAGTGATGTTGTTAAGTGGCCTGAAAAATTAAAGAATCAAATTAAGATGGTTTTAATTTGATTGCATGGATTTAATTGAATATATTATCTCAATCATAAGTTCTGAGAGTACATTATTCAATTGTTTATAAGTTATAACATATGAGTTTGGAGATTAATTATAGTAATAGTAATCTCATAATATAAATATCAAATTAAATTATTTTCTAATTATATTATCTATGTAAGAAAAACTAGTTAGTCACTAAAGTGGCCTAGTTTAATTTATGGAATAGATAATTAAATTAGATGAAAGTATCATTATTCAAATATAAAAGGATGCCTTATTAAAGTCTTTCAAATTACGATATTTGAATCATTGATGTCATTGTAAACCAGGAGGACACCCAAAGGTTGGTCATGTGTTTATAGTTTATGAAAATTGAGAGAGAAATTATAATCAAAGTTATGTCAATTAGAGTGTTTGTCCAAAAATAACCTCTTGTTGGTCAAAATATATAATTTCTATTAAGGATTAATATTTAAAAAGAGAAGTTATAATTAAAGTGATGTTAATTAGCGTGTTTGTTCAAAGATAGCCGCTAGTTGACTCAAGTTTGTATAATTTCTGTCAAGGATTAATATATAAAAGAGAAATTATAATTATAGTTAGGTTAATTAGTGTGTTTGTCCAAAGAAAACCACTAATTAATCACAATACCTATAATTTCTATTAAAGATCTTTTCTCTTAGGCATCAAATCAAGTATATTATATATTTAAGTATTTGCCCAAAGGTATATTTAAATATATAATTTAAAAGATTTCTGAATTCATTAATTGTCTCCCAAAGCTTAATTAAATAGCATGTATTAAAGTTTGCAGTGTTTAAATTTGGTTTTTCCGTCAATTATTATTATTGAAAAAATTCAATAGGCCGAACTTCAATGAATGTTCTGAGCATACCCATTTTTAATTAGGTGCACTGAATTTGGATATACTCTAATTATTGATGAAGTGCCCACAACCATTACTGATGAGAGCTCCGAAGTAGAGGTAACTCTTCGTAGGCCATGTGAGCGATCAAATAGGTTGTGTTTGAATTTTATAAAGTTAATCATGGCGGATAACATTAAGGCTGATAATGGAAAAGATTTCCTAAATAAAAAATCAATAAATTATTTCCATTTAAAATTTCGGAAAAAGGTTGTTGTGGAAAGTTTCATGATCGAACTCACCACTATAAAAGTTCAACTAATTCCGCTCTATCCATGATTTCGTGATCCACGTGTTCCGTATATAAGCTAAACTTACAAACATGAGAATGAATGTGATAGACTCATTTATGGTTCTAATAATCATGAACTCCCTACCTGTCGAGTTTGGCGAATCCTAGGTGAACTATAACACCATTGAAGATAAATGGGATTGTAAGCAAATTAAGGCTATACTGGTGCAGGAAGAGGTGAGAATAAAAGAGATGAAAGAAGAGTCGATTCACTTTATATCTCATGTGAGAGCCAATAATAGTAAGATAAAATAGGAAACAAAGGCAAATAAAAGGAGATTGACTTACTTAAATTTTTGCAGATCCAATCATTAAAGAAATGAGGTGTTATTTCTGTAAAAAGTTAGGCCACCTTAGGAAAGATTGCTCGAAAAAAAATCTTGATTCGAAAAGAAAGACATATTAAATTTTCGTATGTTGTGAATCAAATTTATTAAAGATTCTCAATAATACTTGGTGGCTTGGTTTTGCGCAACTACTTATGTATCTCATATTTATTTTGAGGTTAAACGTAGTGCACATGATTAAAATTCTATTCTCTTATGGTATTAAAGATTAGGTCACATATCTAATGAAAAGTTACTGAGAATGGTGAACCATGAAACCAATTCTCATTTGGATTTTAGTGATCAAGATGTATGTGTAGAATGCACTAATGAAAAGCAAACTAGACATACATTAAAGAGATCTGTCAAGAGAAACACTAAAATCTTATAACTTATTTACACTAATTTTCTTGTGGCCTATTCGACGTTCCCTTGTGGGGGCAGTATAAAGTATTTCATCACCCTTATAAATAATTTCTCATGTTATAG